CCCCCCCCCCCTTATTTCCCCCCTGTGTCAGCAGTTCTCCAAGTGAGATGCAGGAACCACTAGGTTTTCGGAGACTCTGAGGTCAAAATTATTTTCATAATAGTAAGATGTTATTTGCCTTTTTTTACTCTCACAATGGACTGTAAAGTTTTGCGGACATTACATGACGTGTGCTGACATTATCACTCTGATGGCTAATACAATTTGAGTATTGTTTTAAACATTTCTGTTTTAATATCCATAAGTATCGATATAGCCCACAAAAACAAAAGCCGGTCAGCAAGGTGTTTAAAATTACTTAATGTAAGTGCAGACACAAGTTATCTCGTAACCTGTCAGCAATGTTTGGACACAGAAACACATGTATACTCATGATGGGTCAGCAAGTTGTTGAAGATATGTGTAGCACCCAAGAAGGTTTTCATGCCCTCTTCCTAGTCAGAATCCTTCCCAGAAGTAGCCTCTATTCTGACAGATTAGTTTTGCCTGTTCTTAAATTTCAGATAAATACCTAGCAGCATGTTTTTGTGTATTTGTGTTTGGCTCCTTTCACTCAATATAATGCCGGTAAGAGTCACTCTCCTTGCTTGCCTAAATTTTCATGTCAAATGTTTCACAACATTATTTTGCAGCTACACAGTATTGTATTCTTTGGACGTACCACTGTTAAATTGATCAATATTCCCATGATGGACTTTTAAATTTGTTCCAGATTTTCTTGTTACACCCAGCACTTTGATGCACAGCCTAGTGACTAGGTCTTTATACCTATTCCTATTAGTCACGGGACTTGGCTGGCCCTGTGAGGTCCATACAGGGAGGCAGGTTTCACAACTGATTATTTGCAAGATGTGGAATGAGTCCCCAATTTTTCCATCTCTCATTTTTCACCACCTTAAAGGAGGGGTACTGAGGAAGGGAGGGGTGTGGGAGGAAGGGAGGCAGAAGAGCAGTGGCCTTCCTGAGTGGCCAGTGTCTGCTCTTTCTCACTCAAGAACCACCTCATTATCCCAGAAAACGCTCTAGCCGGCGTCCCCCTTTCGCCAGCAGGGAGCATCAGAGGCCCACAGTGAGCGGAGAAAGAGGGCCTGAGTTTCCCCCTTCTCCCTCCCCTCCCTAAAATAACTCTCCTGACGCTTCCAAGCCTTCCGCTCGCCTGATCCCAACATTTTATGGGATGCAGTTGGGGCTCAGATCAAACTCACACATCCAGTAAGAAGCAGGATAGAATTCGCACCCAGGGTCCATGCGCTCATCTACAGGCCGATGCCCTGGGCACGGTTTCGCCTGTCCACTTGGTGTAAAATGGAGAGACTGGGGACGTGGGTTCGAATCCCCTCTTTGTCTTTCTCCAGCCACGTGCTGTCGGGGAGGGGAGGCTAATGCATGTCTCTAGATCTGTTTCCTGGTCTGCGTAATAGGCTACTAATGGCTCCCCCGTCGTGGGTGGGTGTAAGATTTAAACGAGTTAACGTGGGCAAAACGCCTGCCAGAGGGAGTGCCCCGTAAACGCTGTTTTGAATGAATGATCTCCGCCCCCGAGGCACAGCCCCTGGGAGGAAGCACTCTTGGGGCCTGGACCCCCCCTCCTGGGACCAGGCGGGGCCTCCTGCTTGGATAACGGAGGCCGGGGCGGGGGGCTGCCGAGGCGCAGCCCTCCCTGCGGTAATGAGCCAGCCAGCCG